CGCAGCTTGGTGTCATCGGCAAACTTACTGAATCATTGTGGAGTCTCAGAACCACAGAAACAGGGACCTCGAGGTCCAACCTTTCCTGGGCAACACGCAGTCTCGACAAGATGGGGCTGGAATCTCCCGCTGCCATCACCTCCTGTCGCTCAGGTCAAGCCCTCACACCCACAGTGCTCTCTCTTTCAGCCCATGATTCTCTCAGGTTTTTATAAACTGCGAAACAGTGCCTCACCCGTGCTTACCGAGGTTAAGGACACCCCGAGGGTGCCCGTCCATGGGGGCATTCACAGAGCCCCTCTCGCTGACCTGTTCTTTGATTTCATGAATCTTTCTGTATCTCAACGATTTTGAGGCCCACAGCTCTCTGCCAGGCGTCACTGAAACTGGCCGACTTGTGCAGACATCGTGGCACAGACAGAATAAACACCACTTCTTTAGGAAATAAAAAGGCACAAAGGAAAAGACCTGCTCAGAGCCAGGCTGGCAAGCCCCAGGTGAATCCCTGGGCTGCAGGAGGTACGGGGTGCGCTGCCCCGTCCCCTCATTACTCACACCCCTTGTGCAAGAGCCGTCGATGAATTCCGACTCCTTATTTCACACGCTCTATTCAAAGGGACACACTTCTCTTCCTACAAACTGGTGATGCTGGTGCCATCTGCCCAGCACAGCTCAGGAGAGGTCTGGACAATCACGCTTCTCGAGGCAGAAACTGGTTATTTGCAAGGACATTTGTTGACCCACATTCTTACTTCACATTCTGTTTACTAGTAAGAACATTTGTAATCCTGTTTCCTACGAACTTGTCCTAAAAAGAGAAAATTATGTGACTTGTCTTTTGTACGGTTCTATTAATTTGAGAAAAATCTCTATGCTGGGTTTTTCATCAGTGATAATTTGGCTTTGCTAGAGTTAAACTGCATTAATATGTACTTCAGTGCTGGAGTAAAGTCAGAGACAATTTTCAGAAAAAAGGGAATCCCTTTGCAGTGCCTTTTAGACTGACATTCAGCAATGGGCAGTTGTTTGTTTTAAAAAAAACAATCGTTTAACCTTAAGCACCTGGAACCATTGCTTGCTATGCTAAATGTGTGGCGATGTGTTTTATTTTCACAAATTTAAAATATCCAGTGTAACTCTGAAGCCTGAAGTGGAAAAAAGGTCTTCTATTTTCTTTCCCTCAGGAACAGAGCTATGCTGAGAATGTGTGAGCAGATAATAGCCTAATTCAAAACTTCAGGCCAGATGTCTTCAAAATCAGTCAAATTAGTTAAAGCATAAACAAACATTTGTGACTGACGTAGCTACTTCAAATAGGCCAATGCCTCAGTCGGCGTTACTCATTTTGGAACGAGCTGAGAGAAAGCAGAACCAAAATGAAGAAGTTACTTGTGTTTGTCTCCTTTTTGGTCCTGACGACCACTTTTACAGGTAGGAGTTTACATAAACCAAACCTGCATATTTATGTAGAGCTGCATAGCATTAGTTTATCAACCTTGTATTTTAGTATCTTCGTATTTCATTTTTAATACTTAACTATTTTTATATTGCAGGCTTTCCATTATTTGAATTTTAACAATCATGCTATTGTATTTGATATTTCACTCTCTGCATTACCACACTGTAGTCATTTATTGTAAAACCAAAAGGCTTAATTTTACTAGCTTACTATTTTAATATTATTTTACCAAGTAATTGCAATCTCTCCGTTGCAACAAAAGTCTGACTCATTACTTTGAAAAATAATCCTAAAAAGTAAAGCAACACAGAAAAGAACAAAGAATTGGAAGAATTACTAATGCCAGTGGTTACATGGTGTTATTATATTTTCTCATTTTATAGAGTAACATGAATATGTAGGGTTTGCTTCATACTGGTACCACTACAGAAAGCACAAGTATAAAAATGGTTTAAAATTCCACTCATATCTCTTGGAATGCAATATCCCCTGGGAAGGGGCTGCAATGAAAGAACACTTTGTATATAGACAAAAATCAGGTTTGCAGACTTTTCATTTAACAACTGACAGATACAGTACTAACTTTTTTGCAGAACTAATTTCTGCTTTTTTGTCTTTAGACACCTCACCAATTTTGGCTGAAAAAGATGCCAAACAGATTCTGAGAACTCGTCGTGAAGACAGACTGAGAAAAGCTGGCTTCCCTGATGAGCCAATGAGGGTGATTTATGATATTTACTTTTAAATTACATTAACTAAAAAAATCCCAATACCAAACCCCCCAAACCATTTGTGTATTAAATTTCTATAGATTCATTCCAAGCAATACATTATGAATCTTACCCTTTTAAGTAGCTGAGCTCTGTGAAATATTAAAAACCCCCTTTACATTCTTTCAATTACTCTTAAGTAGCATTCTGCAAGTGCTTAATATTGCTCAGGAAATGTATGCTTGCTGAATGTGGAAATTATTTATCACGGTTCAAAAATGCCGATTAAATTATTGAGAAGAAAGTGGCTTTTCATTTATAGAAATGTGGATTTCATCAGGTTGTTCCTGAAAAACTAAATAACAGGAAATGTCTTCTGCTTGCAGTACATTCTGCACTCGAGGCAGAAAGGAGATGTAGGTGTCAGTGGTCAGTCTGGAGATAGAGGTAGTTCTGAACTAGCTTTTAAAATCACTTACTTTCATTTAGTTATTGATGAATGCTACAGATAGGATGGTTTGTTATGATATTGTAGAAGTTTTTAGTCACTAGCTTCATGCAACAGCATTATTTTCACATGCGGTACTTACATTTATTTATTTCTAAACCATATTACAACAGAAGAAAAAGTGAAAGAATGAAAAAGCCTTCTGTTTCACTTGCTTTGACAAGATGTAACATATAATTCTGCACTTCTCAAGAGGTACTTAAGGTATTTTAAAATTACTGCCTATTTCTTTCCAAAGTAAATAAATCGTGCTAAAAATTACATGGTTCTGAAGAGGCAAAACCCACAGAAACTAGAGAGCACACAATAGATTATGCACGTACGAGGAATACAAGGGGCTCAGTTCAGCAAGGTGCTGAACACTTCAGAACTCTGCAGGACACCAAGAGCGCTACATACCTTGCAGGACTGAGCTCAGCGTGAGCCGGGCTTGTGGAGACAGCTCGGGGCTTTCCCTTTCCAATGGTTATTGTAGACCAGCCCGGAAGACTCCACCTGGCCACACGCTGCTCCGTCGAGTGTGGGCCACAACAAATCAAAGCTGTCATGAGGACACGGCACGGCGCTTGTTAACCATCTTGTGCAACGAAGGCTGTACAAAACCAAACCCCAGAAGGCACAGGCTTCACCGCTGCCCACAACATTCAGGATTGGGTTGATTTCTAACCTGCTGCTACGTCAGCCTTGTCGTTTTTGAAAATTAGCACGAATACAGCTCCTGTCTATACTTATGCTTAACATATTGCTATGATTATATAATGTGTTATGTAGTAAATATAATGTGTATTAAATCCAAAATAAATAAAACAGTAGAGAAGTTGGACTGAGTTAAATCCCGTATTGCAAAAAGTTACAACACTCTTAGTCATATGGTTTAGTTTTAGGTAGTCCTGCGAGGAGCCGGGAGTTGGACTCAATGATCATTATGGGTCCCTTCCAACTCAAGACATCCTGTGATTCTATGGCTCTAGGAGGGGAGCAGAGGCAGCCAGGGCTAGAGCAGTGTTTGATTAATGCTCTGTCCTTGCCACTTTCCATCCTACCATGATTAGTAGCAAACACTTGTTAAGAAATTCCGATCATATTTTTATTTCATTTTTTTCCCTATACAGCAATACTGGCTTTCTGTAAGAAAGCCCAAACATAAGAATATTTCTTTTTCTCACTAAATGTCAAGGTTTTCTGTAGAAAAGGAAATAGCTTGTAATAAAAAAACAACTATCCCCCTCTCCATGTAGAACATGTAGATTTTCCCTTGTGAATGAAGGTACGTGGCTGCTGTATCCCTGTGCACAGTTCTGCTGGGGCTCAAGGAGAAAAACTGATTTTGTATGGATTTTTTGTAGCAAATGAAATGACTGCTGGGATGAGCCCACCTCTCTTCATCTATTTTAAGCAAAAGCTGTTTGTACTAGGCCAGATCATGCTGAGCTGGGGAATTTAATTTGCAATTCTTTGTCGCACTATTCGACTTCCATGGTGCTGTTCTAGTGAAAAAGCCTGTTCAGACAGCAAGATCTGCCATCTTTGATTATCTTAAAAATGTCATTTATGTTACCAGCATGTTTTAATCTTACTTTGACCGAGACCCGCTTTTTATCACGTGGCATCTTCTCAGTCATATAGTCCTGTTCACCGCAGGTTCATAACGGGGCCTCACCGAGGGATTTGAGCCAAGGCTCCCTGTGCTGCGAGGACAGAAAACACAGCAACAGGCAGGGCCCTAATGCTTCCTGCTGGCACCCAGCGCACCAACCCAGCCCTCTGGTCAGCACAGGGCAGAGCTGGCAGGAATCCTTGGCCACTGCAAAGGGTTTACTCTACAGCTTCCGTTCCTACAGTGCCCACTGTGCAAAGCAGCGGGGGTATATTCTGAAAAAAACCTACCTAGTGCTCACAAAGCTTATAAGCCCACATGCAGTGGGTAAATTTTGTTCCTGATGGAGGCCAACTTTTTGGTACCCAGCCCACTTTAGTTTAATAATTTGTTGCTTACACCAAAACCCCTACAAATTAGTTATGAGAAATTCACATTATTTTATGTCTCATGGGAAGACCAATCAGCACTGATGCACGCTATCTGCTAGAACCTGCCAGAGTACTGCCACATGATCCTATGAAGGATTAATGTTTTTAATCTCAATTTTCAAAAGAGGCTTCAACCGACGTGTCTGAGAAACCTTCTGTACCCTCAGGACCCACAGAGGCTTCTGTGGTGACATGCAAATAAGAAACGTATATGCAGAATTCCTAATTCATGAATATTGTAAAATTCTTGCTCAATACCTTTACTGATCCAGATGATGATGTCATTCATTAAATATTGCTAGCTGAGGATAAGCTGGCTAGCAACATCATTTCACTATATTTGACAATTTTAAGGGGTAAATTGAAAGTTTTATTGGCCTGACATTAGACTTGAGTGATTACATAATTAAGTTACTTTTTTTTTTCTTTAATAGGAGTATATGCTTTACCTCCAGAACTTGGAGCAGAGATCCGAAGAACAACTCCTTGAACACTGGTTGAATCCACATTGCTTACCGCACTGCAACAGGGATTTAGTACATCCAGTCTAATGGTTTTGCCTGCCCCACAATCGGTATATATATATATATTTCTTTTACAGTGTATATTTCTTTCTCCATAATAAAAAGCAGAACCACAGACTGGAAGAGGAGAGAATAACCAATGGCTGGAGGAGGTAGCTTGTGCTGAAAGGTGTTTGGCAGTGGGGCCGTGGCAGCGAACAGAAGTGTCCTAGGCATCAGCTGTCTCGCTGCAGTACTGTTCACGTGAATAAAACATTCAGTTATGCATTTCTCTGCTACACGGATATAAGTTGATGACTTCACTACATTCTTATTAATGTTGCTTCAGACTGTTCCTGTTTCTTTCCTGCTTACGCTCCTTTTCCAACTCACCTATTTTAGCCTTGTACTTGTTCACTTAGCGCTCAGCAGGACTGTGGCAGGATTAAACCCACAGTTGTCATCCTTTAGGTATTTCAGATGCAGCCTGACCCACTAGCAGTTGAGCCTGTTTTGCAGCATCTCAGCTGTCATAATTTGCTGGCTGCTGATTTTTTCAAATGGAATTTACTATTTAGTACACATGCTGGTAAACATTAACACAGAACATTTTCACAGAGCTTGCATGGATTATTAGCTCTGTTTATGATTTCCAACATCAGTGTAATAGCATCATTTGCTTCATTGCCTCTGTTTATCACATGCATCATAGAGTTCACTGGGAAAATATACTCCAAAGCACAGCTTGGAAACCAGGCACTACTCATGAGCCAATCGGTGACGAAATACCACAACCCAATGGTACTCCAGGCATGTCAGGTTTGTGATGTGGCCATCCTTTGTTTTCTTCTGTGTTTTGCAGTATCCACTTACCACTACATTAAAAAAAACGTGATGCGTTGAAGTAAGGAATGTATAGGAGTGCAAAATGTCTTAACCATAAACTCTTCCAAATAGCCAACAGCCATTTGTGATGCCAAAAAGAGAAGATACACCTACATCTGTATATTGTTATAACTGGATAAGCCTTTCTGCTTACATTCTTTAAACAGACATGAAATTTGTCAGCTGGGATAGATTGGAATCATCACCATAACAGTGAAGCTGTATCACTCACAGTTAACTTTTTAACATAAACGCTGCAGATCTAGCTCCATACTTTCAAAAGCATTTAAGCAGTAGAATATAGAGATGGTGTCTGTCAGGGCTGATCTATTTCAAAAGACAGAAAGTTTGGCTGCTCAACATTCTACTGTCTATTTGTACCTCTATATGTCTAAATACCTTGGAAAATTGGAATATTGTGGTAGACTTCAGTGGAGCTATGTTAATCCACAATAAGTCAAAGGGCAGAATCTTACTTGAAAACAAAAGCATAAAATTCCCAAACTTTGGCTCTAGGAAGCTAGCAGTTTTCAAAAAATCTTCCAGCTGAGACACAGCTGAAAGCTGGCTCACTCTGTTGTAATTCTTCACAATAGCTGCTCACAGACAGTTGTGAAGAATTAGTGTTAGAAGTGCTTAGATGATTTGAAGTCCTTTTTACGTTATTAGTGTGGCCAATGTCAGCAGTTTCTTTAATTAAGTTTTCTTTTTTATTTTTTTTTCTGCAGATCTCTTCATGAAGAGGACATATACTATGATTGTGTTAAGAGGCCAAGACTATTCCTGCACTGGCTACGTGCTCACTGTAGAGCTGAACCCCTTTTCAGTACAGTGCAACCCTAGAGCCATAGCAAAACCTCCAGCTCTCAACAGCTAGATGCGTTATAGATGACCACATATTTTCTACCAGTAATGATTGCACGCATGAATAAATAAATCAAGGGTTTCCCCTAATTTCTGAGATACGGGCAAGAATAAATTGCTGATTAGTCCTAGAATATGCTTTTTAAGGGTATAGTTTTAGACTATCTGAAGCCAAAGGAACTTGGAGGGAGGGGTCCATAGAAATTTGGAGAATATAAACATGAAGAGAAGGCCAGCTTTCTGGGCTTTGGAGGAATCCTTAATTACAGTTTTCTAGGTTAAATAACAATATTGTATGAAGATGTCACATTTATGCAACACTAATCTATATTTAATTGCCTAATGAGTATTTCATGTATTGTTTCAGAATAAAAGCTTGATTCAAAACCATTTTAAGATTACTTTGTTACCGTAGTCTCTCATAGTATATGCTGACAAACTCACTGGAAGTGAGGCTCAGTATTGTGAAGTACTAAGAAAACATTAGAGGACTTTCCAGGATGAGCAGCTGAGAAGCACTACGGTGCAGTCTAATAATCTTGTGGTTTCTCTGCACAACTTTTCCTTTTCCTTTACAATTCTGCCAGACCAGGCACATGTATCCAGCCCTCCCTTTCTGCCTGCATACCTTTAAAACTTAAGCCTTGGTATAGAATGTCTTGTACAGTCAGATGGTTAAACATATGATACCTGCAAAACATCATGAAAAATATCTTGATGGCTCTTTCAGGGCTGTTACTGTCCATAATGGCAATAGAATTAGTTACAAATGGACCAGAACAACTTGCAGAATTCCTCACTGCAGTCAGGCTAAGGGCCTGAGGACGTGTAGCAAAATAAAATACAATTTTATGAAGATACATAAGGTAATTACTGCTGCAACAGAGCATTTGATAGGCTGAAACAGACCAACAGTCCTCCTAGTATAGTTTCCTTCCAGTAAGAGAGCTCTCCTAGATTACTCCGAGGAAATAATTTAAATCTCAAAGCATCAAAGGCTTGCTTTCCCCTACTGTCAAGATGAAATCATAGATTAAATCTGGGAGTGTAAAAAAGTATAATCAGGTTGCTATTGTGTGCTTCATTCATAAGACTCGCAATACATAGATCTCAATTTGCATATCTCCACTCAAGTTAAAGTCATTAGGTGAAATCCTGGCTCTGTTTCTTTTCTTGCGCAGTGACAAATTTATGGTGATTCCAATTATGCCAACTTTCATCCAGTGAAAGTCGATTTAAGTACTTCTATGAAATAAAAGAATCCCACCCAGTTATATTCAGTCATGACTTAGGTAACTAGTAAGGGTAAATAATAGCACCTAGGTCTACCTCAGTAACACTGAGCTAATCCTAAAGCATACACGTGGAATAGAGATTGTTTATTATTTTTAGTTTTGCTTCTCCACATTAGGGCTGAAGGATCTCATATGGGTATCTCCAAAGAAAAGTTAAGTATGATTAAGTCTAATTTACAAGAAGTAAACTGGAAACGTGGAAAGGTGAAGTACTTCCAGATCCCTGTTCCAGAAGTTTGCTCAGCACTGGCAGACCCTGCAGTCTAAAGAGGGAGGGAAGACACGAGTGTGACTGCTTTATACTTCTGCCACGGACGCGGCAACCCCTCATCCTGCTTACTATACATTTCCGTGTGTCCATAAAACACATACTGGGTTTTACACGTAATCCAGTGGATTAATAATAAGAACAGCATTTTAGGGTCAGGTGTAAATAAAACTCGTCCATTTTTTATGACTCAGCAGTGAATAAAACTCATACGTATTCATCATAAAAAGTTAACACTGCATAAACATTGTTCTTAGTTACAGCTACACAAATTACATGATTAAGCTTTCTTCAGAGTCCTCCAGTGTGGCTGCTCTACTGTGTTTTTATTCCCTTCTTATACACAGATCTTTCCTTCAAAGCCAGGCTGTAGCTTGAAATTATCTAAATTTGAATTATATCAAATGTATTCAAGGACCAGTTGTAAGGTTATTTTTGACCATGTCTAAAATTTGGGGAAAGTGCTAGACTTTTATGCGTGCATACAAAATCATTACCTTTCATACTGGATGAAGATATATGATAATCTATATGACTTAGAATTTGCACATGAAAGCCATGAGAGGGCTTAATATAACAAAAATAGGGAAAAAAGAAGCGTTCTGAAGGCTGTACACTGAAGATAGGAAAGTTGGCAAAACAGTTGACTTCCAAATGCTTTCACAGAAAAGGATTACAGGAAAATCTTTCATCTAAGAAAGTGCCAAACATAGCTTTAGCTTTAATCGCTGACTTGTTTTATATTCAGTGTCTGCTTTGTCTTTTCTCGTCTGAAAATCTGCCCACTAGATGCCACTGTTCCTGCATGGAAATGGCATCACAGCAGGGCCCTTGGACTCAAAACTGCATCCCTCCTTCCCTTCCCTTGTGGTTTTACTCCTTTTCTTAAAACGTTCAGCTCAGATGACTGGAATAAAAAGTTACCTCGGAACTGTAAAAACAGCCCCGCTTTTAGCACATGGCTGATTTTTTCCCCCTTTGGATCCATGTTTGCTGTGAATGTGGATGTTGGTGTGGGGTTTGCCTGGTTACGCGGGCGTGCTGAACTGTGCCGTAGAAAGAAATGGTTGAATGTTTCTACCCAGTACATTGTAGCGGCTTTTGACTTTGCGCTGCATCTGCCTTTCAAATACAGACACAAAAAAAGCATTTTGTGTGTTTGCAGAAGCTCTTCCCTCTCAGAGGAGGTCCCATTTGATCTATCTTCAGTAACCCCAAAATGTAGCTGCAGAAAAATTGGTGAAAGCGTCACTCTTCAAGGCACGGCACTATCTTATTCCATTTATTATATTTAACAGCCTGGAGGACTATGTGTTAGGTGCTCTGCAAACCTGTACTGAAGAGGCAGACTGTGTCCAGGGCCTGAAATGTAGTAGCCCTCCAGAAGAGCAGGTAAATAACAGCAACCCTAAATACACAACAACTCGGGGAAAAGAGACAAAGGCTGGAATTTCTGAGAGCATTGACTTCAGCGAGCCAAAACGAAAAGATTTTATGATAGCCACATAAATAATCTATGAAGCAGTCATACTATTGCCACTAAGCAATTTGGCAGTTCAACTAATTGGCTGTTCCTACCAGACTGCGCTACCTCGCAGGAGAACAGGCGCTAGAAGTAGTTACTTACTAAGCCTCGAATTTCCAGAAATTTCACTGTACGCAAGTCAGCAGCTTTATTTGAAATCCACTTCTGCAGTGGTGAAGGTAGTGGAAAATCCAAAATTAAGCTCACCAGC